TGATAATCGCTGGAGCCATACTTCTGAGTGGAATGGGCGGGCTGGGCCAGGTTGCTAGCCTGGGGCAAAAGCGGTGGACATTGGCCGGGTAACCCTTTTTAAGGAAGCTTCTGAATTGTCAGCCATCGCAACCGTTGCTCGCGGTAGGAGCAGAAAGTAAGGTCTTTTGAAGAACTGTACCGTCTTCTCAATGAACATAATACGATGTGCCTGTTAATTAAAGAAGAACAAGAAGGATAGACTTATTGTTGTACAATTGCAAGGCCCACTGTGAAGGCAGTGATGAGTTGAAAGAGGCGGTGCAGTCTCCCTCAGCGTCAAGGCATTTGGCTGTGGGCCATTTCTTTCTTTCTTACCATCACCACTTGTTTTCTGCTCATGGGCATTATCCGACCAGCGACGCCTGGCTTTCTCGTTACGCTCGTTGCAACCGGTCTACTCGCCGTCGTCTCCTTCTGTGTCCCCTACTTCAAGTCCGTATATTTTCTCAAGGCCAGCATCACCGTCGAGAATGTCAGTGGCTCCATAACCTTTGGGACGCTGGGCTACTGCTTAGAACTACCCGGGAACACAACATGTTCAAAGCCATCGATTGGCTATGAACTAGGTATGTGACTCTCACTCTGAAACATTGCGGGTAACTTGACCATTCGTTGGACAGATATCAATTCACTGGTCGGTAACAACCTGCCCATCCAGATACCCGAAGTCGCCGTCAAATGGATAACCTACGCTCTTTTCTCCCATGTTGTCGCCCTCGCCCTCGCTGCAGGCTCCTCGGTCTTTGGTCTCCTCGCGCATGTTCGAGAAATGACCATGACCTGCTGTAGCATCTGCATCTCAGGATTCGCCGCCGGTGTTGCTCTTATCGCATTTATCTTTGATCTCGTCCTTTTCTTCGTTGCCAAATCCCGAATCAACGCTGTTGGAACCGCAGAAATGGGTAATGCCATTTGGCTAACTCTCGCCGCGTGGATATTGCTGTTCTTCAGCGGTTGCTTCTACTCAATCGGTCGATGCTGCGTCTCAAGACGACCCAAAGGACAAGACAAAGAAAATAGAGGCCCCGACAAGGATTACTCCGAGCAAATGAGGCTGGACGCTGTCAAGGCTGACGCGGATAGGAAAGCCCGGGAAAGGCAGCAGAAGGAGCTAGGCCTTCCGGCTTTTGCAGAGACCCAACCACTCACTGCTCGTGTCGATGGCGATCACGTCTACATCGACGACGATACAAAGGGTGGTTTACTCAACGGCCCTCCTTCACCCACCATGTCAAGACCTTCAAAGAGCAGCCTGACCAGCGCAAACAGCAATGGCCCGCGTTATGCTACTGGTGGTTACGTACGAGGTGCTCCAGGAACCACCGCGATGGACGAGTACTACAATCCCGCTGGTCCAGCTGAGCCCAACACCTACCCTCCTCAGCCGCAAAGACAGGGCAGTCAACATGCATTTGCTGCGGGAGGCTATAACAATGGAGGATACTCTTCTCCGCAGCGCCAACAAAGTGGATACGCCCCATCCGCTTCGGGGCCATACGCTCACACCGGTTATGGGGCCTATCAATCTACATCGCCTCCACCAATGCCTTCGCAATCCCTTGCCGTACCCGGACAGTATGTGGATCCATACGCACAAGATCCCTATAACCAGTCCGGACAACAGTATGGACATGCAGCTGGTGGAAGCTCCTGTAAGTCACAGTACAACGGATGCCTGCCGAGCGACACTGACCGCGTTTATCCACAGATCACACTGCCTCTTCTCATAATCAGCAACCCTCAGGATACTCCCAATACGACCCATATGCTCAAACCACCTCCCCTCCTCCACAAAACTACTATAGTCCTCAACCTCATCAATACTCCGAGCAGCCACGATTCGTAGCGTCACCTCCTCCAGACGCCTTTGCAGGCGCCACTGGTTATGGCCAACCAATAAGCCCACCACAGAACAATTACGGTGTTCCCGCCGCGCTCGTCGCCGGTGGAGCACAGCAACCTCCACCGCCGAGCGTCACACCAGCCGTCTCCCTCCATTCTGTATCCTCGCATTACCACCAATCACAGCAGGCACCACCCGTACCACAGCCTCAGCGACAGTACACGGTTGGAGGAGAGGGCTATGGGGCTAATACCCTTCCGCCGTTGCAGGAGCATTCGGACCCGTATGGCGGGTATAGCAGTGGACCGCCGGGGATAGACAACTCGGCTGCGTATGGAGGACAGAGACAGGTCCCTGACGAGCTGCCGCCGAGCTACGATCAGGGTAACACGGCTGCGACTGGGAACTGGGGAAAGCGGTAGGGTAGCATAGTGTTACTTGAAAGCCAGTCATGGAACTGGCGGAACTTTCTAGCGCGGGCCCGGCGCGCAAGTTGGAACGGAGGGAGGCGACGAAAGCGAGGTTGCTCGATATGCAAAGCCATGCATAAGGTGTATGACACGCGGACAGACTGTAATTTACAGACCACAGACATTTCCATTATCGCTTCCTTTTGAACATCTTACTTTATTCATATATTTCGTTCTCGTCGTGTTGCCCTACCGCATGGCATGTTGTATCCTACCTCGCCTGTACTCTTCTGCCTCTTCATTTCCCATTCGCTCGTTTCGGGTGTGTATCTAATTTATTCGATCACGATCTTGTAACGATTGCTACATACAAACGATTTCTTGATACTTCTGATACTCGCGCGATACTGTTGGTTTCAACCGTTTCGTTGCAGATGTCGATATCTCGATCGGCGTTATGGATAGAGTTGTAATCTGCTGCAAATTGGGCGTCTATCCTGATGATCTATCCGAATCTGATAAACGAGTGTGTACTCTTTCATCCCTATTCGAGCCTTTCAACGGTGCGCAAATATCCTACGAAACACTCTCAACTTTGAACTGGGGATCAAATTACATTTGCGCACGGACCACAAGCGCGACGCGAATCAATTTACGGCGTAATTTTGATGACTACTTTCTCTCCGCTAACTTTGTTCTCTCGCAACAACTCCAATGCATCGTTGGTTCTCTCCAACAGGTGGCCTTTGTCGAGCAAGATAATACGGTTCGGTGTGATGAGTTTGTCTCGGAGCAACCGGGCTATAATCACTGGAGCAAGGGTGTTTGTCAAACGTTTGTCCTGTGTCGCGCTGTCAGTCTGAGTATGATGATACTAGGGATGTCCATGCTTACCTGTTGATACAGGAACGTCCTCACGCAGATAAACTTCACGTCGTTATGGAACAACTTGGTCAACTCTTCGGGAACTTCAAACAGGAGTTCGCCTTCTTCGCCCGTCAAGTTTCCAACGCCTTTGTGTTTCAGGGGTGCAAGGAAAGCCAAAGAACCTCCAGGACGGATGACCTTTGCGATGGCACCGAATGTCGAGTCGAGGGATATGCAATCCGCGACAAGCTCCGCCTTTCCATCCCCTCCAAACGCTGTAGCAACGTCGTCCACAAACGAAGGGCTTCGGTAGTCGACGACTGCCTTGGCACCGAGGCCACGCAGGTAGTCGGTGTGCTTTGGGGACGCAACAGCGACTACGTTGGTGTATTTCGCGAGTTTGAGGAGCTCTACCATGTATTGCCCGGATGTTGCTCCACCGCCGTAGATCAGGATCGGTCGGTCAGCGTTTTGGGGCGCCTCTGTCGGAGGGAACTCTTCGGAGAATGGGAGACCGAGTTGACTGAACAGCGTGTAAAATCCGGTGATGACATTATCGGGTACTGTGGTTGCTTTCTCCAATGGCAGGTCATCTGGGATCTGCGGGATGCAGTCAGCCATCCGGCCAAAGCTACGGCTTCGATCTCGTTCACCTTTGTTATGACAGAGCGTGGATGGATGCTGTATTCTTGAAGACCCTTGTTTCCTGGCACGTACGCGAATGCCACGACCTATTACGATTGTTAGAAATGCTCGAATGGGCCTTAGCGGGTACTGCTTACCCTATCGCCTTCGGATAGATCGGTGACCCCTGACCCCACCTTTGCCACCTTTCCGCCAACGTTGGTACCCAAGGACAATGGGTAGTTGTTGACGTGCCAGCCAAGGTCGGCCTGGTAGACATCAAATGGGGTCAAGGAGGTGTATTCAGCCTTTATGAGCACTTGGTCAGCCTCCTTTGGTTGGGGAATCGGCGCCTGCAGAGCCTCGACGCGACCTGGAGCAGTAGTGGCGACGAAATTGTATGTTGTTGTGGACATGGTACTGGCACGATGGGAAATAGAAGGTGAAGAGATGGGGAGAAGTGATGATGTAGATGTCCTCAGCTACATTCTGTCTCCTGTATTTATACCCTCCCATGTCCCGTTTTCCCAGCACTCTGCCAGTGAACTTGGCGTAGGTTGGTCAACAACAGTCCGAGTCGATGATTTGCTGACAGATGTTAAACCTTGAAAGTCGCCAACCGCAATGTTCTCTGTGACGTATGTTCTCGTATGTTCGAGCTTATGTGTGATGGAAGATGGGATTAATGCCATTTATCAGCGCTTGTCAGCGGGTTTGACGGAGTTTCAAGGGGTTGGAGCAGAATCGCAAGGTTGCGTGTGCGCCTCAAAGGACCCCTATCATATGGGCCTCACTCAATAATGCTGGTCCACTCTGGATTTCACCTACGATGGCTCGTCTGACTCAGTCCAATATGGCAAATGACTGATAGATTCCTCACCTCCTTCAACTGAAAAACTAGTATCTTTTGATCATCCAATCTGCACCCATCCTGTCCTGCCTATTATCATAGTATCATCGCCGCGCTGCGCCACTACAATAATAGGGAACACGGATGACCGATCCGGGCTAAATGAATTCAGTCCCTGTACTCGGTGCCTACTCGTATGACACAGTCTATTTCGTACAAACAAGGTCATGGGGTAACGGAAAGAATTTCTGCCTTACATCGCTTACAGTTGCGTGAAATTCGAGGGATTTCTATTTGATTTATACGCTGCGGAAACCCTCGAGGGCGTGGCGCGTCGTGTCTCCAACATGAAAACTAATGAATAAGACCCCGTAGTTCAGTGGTAGAATGTGAGATTCCAGCGCTTCGGCGGTGCTTCCTCAAGGTCATCCGTTCAATCCGGGTCGGGGTCATTCCTTTTGCATCCCTCTCAAACACCGAAGCCTGGCGCGTGAAAAATTCAAACCTGAAGTTCATACGGCCTGATGCTGAAAGTAATTCAGGGTGTGAGTGTATCTGTATGGATGAAATTTTTTATCCATTGACGACGAAGCCCGTATATATCCTTGAATTTATTTGTGGGAATTCGAAGCTGTTGGAAGCACAAAAAGATGGTCAGAAATCGGTCAGAAATGAGCAGGGTCGCTGGAAATAAGGCAGGTAGCGCAAGTGCCAAGTGCTAGAAAATCCAGAAACGCTCGATCAAAGTTCTCGCTACCGACTCGCGGCTCGTCTTCGAAGCAAAGTCGCGCTCGAGCGCTTAATTACGGACTCAGTACTCCCTGGGCCCTGGCATTCCTTTGGTTTCGACGTAAGGGGTGGACCTAGCAACACAAGCCCACGTTCACCGCCCATAGCTAGTGGCGCCGACTGACAGCAGAGATTTCTGATTGATGTGTACGGGTGTACAGCCATCGACTATCAGTGCTTAGCTGTTTTACTTTTCCCCCTTTCTCTTTACTACCTCTTCCTCGACACCGATGGTCGACTTCCAGGCGCCTCACCTCCACTGGGAGTTCAAGGGCGAACATGTCCTCTTCCCATTTATCGTGCTCACTTCATTTCCCAGTCTGCTTCTTGCTTCGCTGCTTCTGATCGTCATTTGCGTCATGGAAAGGCGAGTCTTCGCGTCGTGCAACCTTTTCCGGACAAAACTGACTGAAGGATCGCGACAGATTGGTCTCGCACTATCATGGAGAAGCCAAGCTTTCAAAGGCCACTTCGCATAGGGCAAGGTGGCGCCTTGCATTGTGGAGATTCTTGCTATATTGGATCGCGACCGTGCTGCGACTGTGAGGAGCTCGTCCTGGTTATGGGGCCAAAATTAACTGAAGCCGTCGCTTAGCTGCTACATGTTAGCAGGGATGACTTTTAATATGGCGTAAGTGTGAACCTAAAAGCTTTATTGTGCATTTCAGCTGAACGTCGTGTACCTATCCCATAGGCTGCTGCTCGTCATGGTATGGTCCAGTTCCGCTCGTGCACGACGAAGACCCACTCATTGACCCCGAACAGGCAACCTCGCTCTCGGTCACACAGCTCTTCATTGAGCTTAGAAAACCATCCAATCCAGAAAACGATTCTTTCCAGTACGTTGCTACACATGCCTTCCAGAATGCATCGTGCCAACCGCGCCTCACACACCGCAGACCACTCGAACAAAGACATTCCGACCTCCTCCTGCCCTCCAACAGTTCTCTTGAGCTGGGCGGAGGCCATATCAAAACCCGCCCTCGCTCCAGGTCAAAGCCAGACGATATCTACATCCACCCTAATGAATCAAACATCGCCCGCGCAGACGCTCTGATCAGTTCGCAGTACCAAACTGTCGGGGATCAGTCATGGGATGAGGCGAAAGGTGCGTTGTTACCTCTCGGAATTTCGGTTAGAAAATGACGAGATGCCAGCTCATCGCAGAACAACCTCTGGATTCAAAGTAGGCGAAGAATCCGAGTCTGACGACGACGACATCGCAGATGTATCCCGAAATCGCCTCGTCCAATGATTCCCCTCCCACTGATTCCCTCCAATTCCCTCGTTCCATCCTCAGGTTTCATAATAAAATTCTATCGTACACTACTTCATCAGACAATAGATATATAACATCGGGTGTATAATTATTTTGGGTACTCCAATCGTCAATGATTATTATTTAAAAGAAGGCCAGACGAACAATCCGAAAAAGAGCAGGAAAAGAGAAAAATATAGATGGGGTGCTACGCTCGATTTCCATGAACGAGACCCGCTCGTTTGAGAGGTGCCCTAGATACGCCCTCACTTTCTTCCGACTTGCGCTGCCACTGGTCAATCAACTTGCCAACACCTTGGAAAGGCCTCTCTGGAGAAGCCGACCGATCGTCACCATTCACCGAGTTGGGCGACACCAACGGCTCCTCTGCCTGCGCCAGCGTCATCGTGCGCGTCGGGAACACAATCGAATTTGACGGCTCTTGCTTTATTGGTGGACGAGGGGGCGGAGGGTCGTCCGCAGGAGGAAGAGTCGCCTTGCGCTTTGGAAACACGACAGTACTGGGATTATCCTGCTTGTGCGTTGGACGAGACAGCTGGATGCCGCTACTCTTCTTTGGCGACGGCGGCGCCTTTTCCACAGGCGACACACGCTTCGACGGCAAGATCTGTCGGGGTATATCCAAAGCAGGCTTGGTAGGGCCAGTAGAGATCGCACGCATTCGAGCCTTGGATGGTTCTGCGGATACACGATTCGGCCTGAATTCATCCCTTGGAGTGGCCGACTCGACCACAGGCAACACCTTGACTCGTCCGATCTCGGTCTGAGAAGGCGGTACGTTCACCATCTTGTTGATGCTGGTTTTACGTGACAGAGGTGCGGCAGTCACTTGCGCAGGAGCAATGACCTTTCCGCCAATGGATTCATAGCGATGTACCATATCAGTGATCGACATCCGTCTGCGTGACACACGAGGCGTGGCTTCCTCTGTAGGAGACAAAGTTGTCGGCTGGGTCGGGGAAGGAGTCGGTATCGGTTCCGCTGGTTTCAAAGGTTCAGTCGATCTGGATGGGAATATGAACATTGATTGGGGACGAGAACGGCCAGAGCTCGAAGTCGATGCTGAAACAGGCGAGACGATGGCAGGGGATCTAGCCTCGACAGGAGTTGAGGCCATCTTTGGTGAAGGATCCCGCTGGATAGGCGACACCCTAGGGCTCCCACTAACAGATCTCCCAGTAACCGACGGCGACCGCCCTGGCGGCATCAAGGACGTCGGTCTCGGTTTAGGTCTGACCGCAGGCTTATCCGCAACCACCGGTTTCTTTGGCGTAGCTTCGTTAGCTATGTCCTGCAACTTATCCTTGCCAGCAACTCCTCCGCCCCATAAATCAACCAAATTATGCACGGAGCTTTGACGGGCCTTGTGACGAATGCGCAAGCTCGGAACCTTCTGCTCCTGCCCCTTGTTCAAACCCCCTAGATCCTCCGGTTCCTCGGACTCGTCCGCACTCGATGCTGACTCGAGATCTTTGGGCTTAGGCTTAGCATCTCGAGTTGGAAGCCGTGGTTGCTTTGCCGCGACAATGGGACTCCAATTATCCGTCAGAGGCTCGTTCCGGTGGACCTGGTTCGCAGTTTGCGTGTCAATCGGCGGGAACGCCTTGGTGAAACGTGAAACCGTGGGTGATTCCTCTTCTGGCGGGAGCGAGGTTGCGGGTTGCATCACAGGCGTGGTGTCATACTGCGCCGACACGGGGCGCTGCAACTTGAAGTCGCTCTGCACGATCACAGAAGCCCTCTTCGCCGCACCTTCCCGCACAACAGGCCCCGTCGCCGTCTTCTCTATATCGTTCAGCTGTGGCTCCCCGTCTCCAGTAAGCCAATCTGGCTGAGGCGATCGCGAGTATTTCGGTAGAGCAGGCGACGGAGAGTAGCTCGGTCTGTCCTCCGACGAGTACTTTTGCACTGGAGGCAAAGACCGTGAGGATGACTGTGTGGAGTTCATTTCCTCTACCGCATATCTCATTGTCGCAGAACCACCTTGCGAGTTCGCAGGGTCCTTCCGACTTTCACCATCTCGTCTACCCGTCGAGGACTTCCAGTCGCTCTTGACCGATTGTACTTCAAGATTTCTTTCCAGTGTCTCAAAAGTAGCCGGAGCGGACGGGAGGTTGTTGAACCGAGATGGGCGGTTGTTGAGGTCCTCTTTGCTGGAATGCGATCCTATCCGAGGAGCTAGTGATGGCGCATTAGTCGAAGCCGAAGTGGCCGGAGCCTGTTTGCTTGTAGTTCGCGATTCGGCTATCTGTGCTTGAAAAGAGGAAGGGTACAGTGATGTCGCGGAGAATTGAGCGTCCAGCTCCTCTAACGACGGAAACCGGGATTCAATCGGCATGCCATCCTTCTTTGTAGCAGAGTTGGGCGACACGGTCGTTGACGAAGGGGATCCCCGCCATCCATCAGGATTCGGTGTTGCAGATCTAGAAACAGACTGAATCGGCGGGTTCGACGGGGACAACAGTGATGGACGTGGGGAGGGTGTTGGTCTATTTGAGACACCGTTCACGGGCTTCAACCCGGCGTCGGGTTTGTTGTACGGCTGCGTGCTCATGATAGCTAAACCTGTTCGAAGTTTCCTTGCTTCCGCTAGAGTGGGCGCGGGTTTACCAATCGACGACATCAACCCAAGTCCTTCAAATGCATCCTTGTCGCGACCACTCCGCAATGCCTCGCTACCGGTATGTGAATGTGGCTTGAATGCTGAACTGATCATTGAAGGAGTGTGTGTTGATGCAGCGGGACTGCCTTTTGTTGAAGGCGTAGGTATCCTTGAATTGGGATTCGAAGCTTTCCACAACCTCTCCGAAAAGTCGTTGTCGAAACCCGCCGGCGCCTGCTTGGAATCTGTGTCTTTGCCCGGCTGAGCTGGATTAGCCACCTTCCATGCCGTATCGAACATCGCATTTGCTCTTTCCCGGGCTTCCGCTTGGGCGGTCATGTTCTTCCAGTTCGCGTCCTCCTTGTCAACCCAACCGGAATCCTTGGAGGATGTGCTTGACGGTGGGATGGATGGCGTGTGTTTCGGTGCCAATGCCTTGTGCGGACTGGGTTGTCTGGACGTTGAATCCTCCCGTGAGTGGTTGTTAGGCCTACCCCGCCTCATTGGCGCGATGGCCTCCAAAACCTTCTCCCTCGCTTGTACTCCCTGGTTCCTTGGCGGAGAGCTGGATAGTGCAGGTGCGGAACGGAGTCCATTGGGGTGGCCTCCGATCGGGCGATGCGAATGGTGGTCGGTCCCTTGGCTTGGCGGCTTTGGAGACGGCGTTGGCTTTGGTACAACTTGCTGGTGACGGTGCTTCGGAATGAGGGGTTGAGGAACAGGGACGTCGTAATTGAACTGTGACTTAGTTCCTCGTAAATGATGCACGTGTTTGAGTAACT